CCTTGACCCAGGTACAAGACTTTGCATTTGGGTTTGTTGATCCTCATGAGGTTCACCTGGCTCCACTGTTCAACCTGTCATGGCTGTTCTCTATCCTTACACCCCCCAGCTTGTACTAACAGTGGGAGTTGCTGTGACCCAGGTGCAGAACCTTACGCTTGGATTTATTGAACCTCGTGGAGTTCACCTGGGCCCACTGCTCAGCTTGTCTAGGTCCTACTGGATGGCATCCCATCCCATTGGTCTGTTGGCTGCACCCCACAGCATGGTGTCATCAGCAAACTTGCTGAGGATGCACTTGACCCCACTGTCATTGTCATTCACGAAGGTAATAAGGAGTATCAGCCCAGCACTGACTCCGGGGGGCACCACTCATCACTGATCTCCATCCAGACACGGAGCCATTGACCACCACTCTCTGGACTCTCTGTGATGTTACCTTTTTTCCACTCACCAGGGACTTCACCTGATTACCATGACTTGTCAAATATCATGAAAAGTGGCTTGGCAACTACATCAGCCAATTCCCTTAGGACTCTTTGATGCATCTCATTGGGACCCATAGACTTGTGGATGTTCAAGTTTCTCAGGTGATCTTCACTTACAGTGGGAGGGACGTTGCTTCCCCAGTCCCCTCCTACCAAACCAAACGTTTGAGGACTGTGCAATGAGCAGTTATCTGAGAAAACCGAGTCAAAAAAGTTAACTACCTCAGCCTTCTCCTTGTCTGTTTTTACCAGCTAACCTGTGTCACTCACTAGGGTGGGTAAACCCTCCTGGACTTCCCTTTCCTGGTCAAGGTACCTGTAGAAGCCTTTCTTGTTCTTCTTGGCATCCCTTTACAAGTTCAGTTCAAGTTGGGCTGTGGCTCTCCTGACCCCATCCCTACACATCCTGGCTTTCTTATACTCTTCCCACAATACTTGTCCCTGTTTCCACTGCCTGTGTATTTTTTTCTTGCTCTTCAATGTGACCAGCAGGTTCCAGTTCAGCCACACTGATCTCTTGCCTTCTTTTCCTGACTTGCTACACCTGGGGATGGAGAGCTCTTGCACACTGAGGAAAGGCTGGAGCACCTCCTCTCCAAAGACAGGCTGAGGGAGCTGGGCTTCTTCAGCCTGGAGAAACGAAGGCTGTGGGGTGACCTCATTGCAGCCTTTCAGTACCTAAAGGGAGCCTACAAACAGGAGGGGAGTCAACTCTTTGAAAGGGTAGATAACAGCAGGACAAGGGGAAATGGTTTTAAGAGGGAGGGAAGATTTAGGTTGGATGTCAGGCAGAAGTTCTTTACCATGAGAGTGGTGAAGTGCTGGAACAGCTGCCCAGAGAGGCTGTGGATGCCCCGTCCATCCCTGGAGGTGTTCAAAGCCAGGTTGGATGGGGCCCTGGGCAGCCTGGGCTGCTATGAAATGTGGAGGTTGGTGGCCCTGCTTGTGGAGGGGGGTTGGAGCTTCATGATCCTTGAGGTCCCTTCCAACCCGGGCCATTCTGTGATTCCGTGGTTCCGTGAAGCTTTCTTAAAGATCTGCCTGGTGTGCTCTGCATCCTTACCCATGAGGACAGTTTCCCAGGGTGTTTTGTTAACTAACTCCCTGAAGAGCTGGAAATTAGCTTTTCTAAAATTTAGCATCCTGATTTTACTCTTTGCCTTTCTCATATCCCTCTGGAACATGAATTCAACCGTAGCATGGTCACTACAGCCCAGACATCCTCCTATCCTGCTGTCACCAATCAGTTCCTTTGCATTGGTGAGCAACAGGTACAGTACTGCATCCCACTTGGTGGGCCTTTAATTACTTGGCTCAGCAAGTTATGCTCAATGCCTGTCAGGAGCATGGTTGACATGCTGGGTTGACTACAGCTCGCTACTTTTCCAGCAGATGTCTGGGTTGTTGAAATCCCCTGGCAGAATGAGCACTTGCAGTCGTGATGCCTCCTGTAGTTAGAGGTAGAAGGCCTCATCAACAGGCTCTGCTTCATTGGGTGGCCTTAGTAGGCACCGATTGAAAGGCTCCCTTTGCTGCTGTGGTCTCTTGCTGTTGCCCGTAGGCTTTTGACTTGCTCACGATTGTTCTTTAGGGGCGCCTCTTCACATTCTGTTTCTCTCCTGATGTAGATAGCAACACCCCCTCCCCTTCTTCCTCATCTGTCCCTTCTGAACATCTTGTAGTTGTCAATAGCCACACTCCAGTCATGGGAATCACCCCGCTAGGTTTCAGTGGTGGCAGATATATTGTTGTTTTTCTAGTAGCACAGTAGCTTTCAGCTCCTGTTTGTTTCCAAAGCTGTGTACATTGATGTAGCAGCTGGGCAGCTGGTCTTGTTACCTACTTAAAGGATAACTCCTTAGTTTCTTTAAGTATTTCTCTTGATTTTCCTTGTTGCTGTCTCCTATTGCCCCAACAGTCACTGCCTCATCATCATAGGATTTTGTATGTGCTGCAGTATTGCCAGCACCTCTCAAGGCAGCAGGTCCTTCAAGGCCCTTGCTAGCACCCTGTTCCTCTAGCTAGCCATCACACACTATATCATGGGAAGGCTCACTAACCCACTCATCCGTTTTCAGACCTTAAAGCCCTCCCAATCAGCACTGCTAGCTTTTCCCCAAGGACCCTTCTCCCCCTCTGAGAAAGGTGAATTCCATCTGGTGCTCACAAACCTGGCCATTTGATTGTCAAAAAAAACCCAAAGTTCTGGTGGTGGCACTGGCCATGAGGCCAGGTATTTAAAGATCCTTTGATTTGTTTAACTAGATCCATGGTGGTTATAATACTAGAGCTTCACCTGCTTTGACTACAACATCACATAGATGCATCAGTTTTTCAAATTCCATGATATTTCTTCCATGGAGTTTGTTCTTGAGTTCTGACAAGCATCTAGAAACAAAGGAAATAATGTTCAGCGAAGGGAGTCTACGAAATAGCTGTTTGGAGTAGTAAAATTTGCTGAGTTAATTTTTGTATGCATAACGATGATTTGGTTTCCTGACTAGGACTTCAGTGCACATGATATAGTCACATAAATAATAGTCTTGACTTTTCTTTATCAGGTAGCACTTGAAAGAGGAAATAGTTCTTGGCTCTGAACAGAGGTCTTTGTTTTGTAGGTGGGTTTGGTGAGACATAGTCCTGAGTCAGTTGGGCTAACTACTAGAGAAACCATTTTCCACTCTGTTTTCCAACTTTCCCTTCTCTAGAAATGTTTTGTGCAGCACACCACACCTTTGAAGAGGAATTTACATAGGTATACATCACTTTAAAGGATACAGTGACAGAAGGGATGATATATCTGCAAGATAAAAGAATATACTTTTAAAAATGCCATGCAAAGTCTTTGGTCCAGGGTGCTGACAGTGCCAGAGCTGGAAATGCGCTGTGCACGATGCTTGCAGTAAAGTAAGGGTAACCAGTTGTCCTCTTCTTCAGATCTAATGGCAAAATCTCACCTGTTTTTTGGTGGGGGTTCAGGTCAGTTTCAGGAACTGCTTCATAGAGGTAACTCTGAAAGTTCTGAGGAAGAAGCAGATGTTCATATATAAATGATTACCTCCAATGTCCAAATCAGTGTTATAGACAATCTGCCCTTCTTTTAGTGAGGATGGAGTTGTTTCTGTGTCTTTCTTTGCTTTCTAAGCTACCAAATCAAGAGGCAGTACATTAATGGTGCAACTAGCTGCACTGATGTAATTTATTTTAGTCAATGAACAGCAGCGTAGAAATAGGACTGCATTTGTGTAGCTGTGACTGCAAATAGGACTGAGAACAATGGGATGTAGTAATAGCACATGGAATTTAAACTGAATGTCCAAAATTTGTATTTGCAGTGGATTGATTTAAGCTGGGAGTGAAAGAGTGAGATCTGTGTTAGCACCACTTGTTCAAAAAAGATTGGGAGGAAAAATTGCTATATGGAACAGAATGCATGTTTCCATTGAGAGCAACTGTACTGGGGCCAATCCACCAAAGCAGAAAAACAACCATGGAAAATAATAAGTGCCTTCGAAGGCCTAGCTCTCCCACTAGTAAATGATCTACAATTAAAGGAAAATGTATTCTTTTCAAATTTAGAGCAGCTGTCCAACATCTGAACCTGCTGCTGATCAAAGCTGATCAAAGAATTCTTAAGATTCTACATTATGGACAATCTACTGAAAAACGTAGTAGTCCCTGCTTATGGCTTTCTTATCAGAGTCCATTGAAGTAAACAGGACTCCTTTTGTTGTTTTTAATGCAGATCTGATAAGATCTCCAGAATGTAAATCAGTTCATTAAAATTTTTAAAGCGCTTGAACGGAGTAAAAGAAAAAAACAGTTTAACTTTTATAGGATGTTTACTGTGTATAAAGCACAATAAAATTATAATTATTTAGGAAAATATTGTTAAAATGTGCTGTACTCAGAGCATCTTGTCTTGGGCTAGATTTAAACTTTTAATTGTGATTTAAAAAAAAAACAGCCTGACTCTAGACATCTTACTCCTTTATTGTGCCAATAATGCAGCCAATCTAAACCCCGAGTGTTTGTGTGCAATATATGTATGGGTGTATATACTAACCCAACGACCAAAATGGATACTGAACACCTCTTGTAGGACATTGCCTCAGGGGCATGCAGGGGAAGAAGGTGACTGGTAATTAAAGAAGCAGAGTCATGGCCTACGTTGTCTTATAAGAATGTGTTTCACTTGACAGCAATGACTCTGATATTCATAAGGTTGCCTGTTTTGCTGCATCTCCTGCTGTGATATTCTGAATGCCAAGGTGACGCTGCAAATGCTGAGATAATATTCTCAGTTATCTGAAGCTTTTGGGAACTTTTCAAAGAGTTAGTGTGTATATGAGTGCATGCTGTTATTACCTTATGCATATGCAGGTTGACAGAAAATGCACTGTGTCTGTATCCCTTCTGTAGGAGTGTGCATAAGCAGGCAGCTGACTCCTTCCAGTGAGGCTGTGTTAGAATGTTTCTGAAGAAAACTTTCTTATTCTCCCCTTCTTGCAGTTACTTCAATGAGAATCAATATCCTGACGAGGCAAAGAGAGAAGAAATTGCCAACGCCTGTAATGCAGTTATACAAAAGCCAGGTGAGGAGCTGATCGCGATGTCCTTTCCAAAGGCAATTACAATTAGATTTCAGCATCTCCTGCTAAATTCAGTAAATGTAATTTTATGGCTATTACTAATAATTCAGCCCTCTCAACTAGCAGTAGGTTTCTTCTCAAGCCTTCTTTGCCCTGCCTTCTCCAGAGCTGCCAATAATGGGATGAACATGAAAGTCAATGCAGTTTTCAAACCAAAATACCTGTATCTGAAACTTAATTTTTCACCAGTTGAGGTATGAAATACAAGGTGTGTATTTCATTTATACAGCTTTGTAAATGGCATTGCTAAGAAAATAAACATTCTCTGAAAGGCTTTCATTCTTTAAGGTCGGGTCACTTATTTCAAAGTCCTTCTGTAAGCACTTAGGACTGCAATCTGGCAATTTCATTACACTCCATGAAAAGGGATTTACTTGGTTCTGTTTCACAGATGGCAAATCTTAGGTTTACAAACTGAAGCTTGATGGAGATCAAGTTGAAAAATGAAACCACAGCTTTCCCACCTTCCAGGGTTTTTTTGGAACTTCTAGACAGGAGTCTTGCATTAGAAGCTGAGTGTTAATGGGAGAACTTGTATTTGAATCAACAAGTTGCGTTTTCCCTTTTCACAGAGAAATTATACTTGGTAGAGGAGCATGAATGCTCAGTTTAGTATTAGTAAGCCCAGATTAGTGGACACACGTGCTGTTGCCTTGGTTTATGAGCCAGACATTTTCAGAATTTGTACTGTGGGTGTGTTTATATTTTATCTAACCAGAATAAAAATTAATGCAGAAGAAAACAAGTACATAGCACAGAAACATAGACTAACTAAGTTTGAAAGTGACCATTTGATCAAGCAGAAGCATCTTAGAATAAGGTGTTCACGGGCCTTTGCCTTTTTCATTCTTGAATAGCTCCAAAACCAGAGGTGTTCCCACCTCCCTGGGCCCTTTGCAGTGGTGATTGCTCTCCTGCATTGTTCTAAACACTAGTCAGAATTTCCCTTGTTTCAGCTTTCGTGTTGCCTCTTGCCTGTTCACGGTGGAAGCAAAAGGATCCAGGGGGTAGAGAGCTGAAGAGGTTAGGATTTTAGGGCTGGCAATGCCACTGGATTGTTCAGCAGCTTTGGACAAGGCACTGTGTCTGAGGATTAGTAAAATACTGTGAGTGGTACTGGTACAGAGCATTAGGAAGCAGCACGGGTATCTATTTCCAGAATTTTATTTCGTTCACTCATTCCATTTCTCTTATTTAAGTTTGCAGATGCTGATTGCTGTAATTATGCAAGTGTATGAAATGCTGAATAAATAAACTTTGAGAAAGTAAGAAGCACACAGTGAGGTCTCATCCCTGTGCAGGCTGCAGGGAACTGAATGTGCAGCTATATCAGCCACCTCAGATAGTCTTATAGCTAGCTTAAGAGGTTTCCATCATCCCTCTGCAATGCTGATTCCCCTGTCTTCCCTTTTTAGGCCAGTCATCAGGCGAAGGAGTTCTTTGCTGTAGCTGGGTGGTTGTTATTAGGATTATTTATTTTGCTGATTGTGTAACATTCCAGTGGTCTGGTTTCCAACATCCCCTGCCCCATCTCCCAGAAGATAAAAAGTGTCCTGCCAGAATGGAGAGGCTCTGATGAGTGCTGTGGGAGTACGATAGCAGCTGCTGGTGGAGAAGAAGGAAAGCAGATAGAAGAGAGACAAAATTCCTTCATTCATTTTGCTGCAACCAAAGAAAACATGTCATTGAACTGCACCCTTGGGGCACATAGTAAGAGAGCTGGCCCAAGGGTATGGGATTTATGGCAGGGCTGTGGATTGAGTTTGAGTTTTTTGAATCTCAGTTTTGTGCTTGAACTAGAAAAGGAGCCCTCTATTCTCCCATGGCTTGGGATTTGGTTGATTGAAGCTGCAAAGAAATTTGTGTATTTCAGATTTTAAAAACAGAAGAAAGGCTACTTTGTTTTATGAGAGATATGTGGCATTTGTTACCACAGCATCTGAGCACAGTGCTCTGATTCACATAAAATTCGCTTCATTCTCAGTTCTAACAACTCTTCAGTGCTGTTTATATTTCAGGAGTTCACCACTTGTACAAGGGTAGTCTGCCTATCTTTTTTTTTCCCCTCCATTATTGTTATAGGAAAAAAATTATCAGATCTGGAGCGAGTTACCTCCCTTAAAGTGTACAACTGGTTTGCCAACAGAAGAAAGGAAATCAAGAGACGAGCCAATATCGGTAATGTATCAGAGAGCCTGCTTTCAAGGTTCAGTACATTGACTTGCTCAGGAGAGATAAAAATTACACAAGATTGCCTTACTGAAAATACGGGAGGTTCTGATAATAGAAATGTGGGGCAATTTTTTAAGAAGAAGAAACGCTTTTCCAGATTTTTTTCTCAAATACAGGTAGGAATTGAGTTTATGAAATTCCATCATCGATGCAGGAAAAATGAGACATCACAAAGTTTTATTGGAAGATCAGTTTTTGAAACCCAAACAAGAATTTAGTTTGTGGAGAGAGAATCACATTCCCTGTACTCAGGCTCACCTGGGCATTCCAGATACAATCTGAAATAAAACCTGAAAACGTCTGCATTGAAAACAAGGGAAATTGAGACTATTGCAAGTTCAGAACCTTAGTGTGCCATTTAAATGAGAAGTGGTTGTAGCGAGGAGCTTTTATATGGTTGTAAGTTTCCTTGTGTCTGTGTTCCACTGAAATGCACTTGTTTTTTCTGCCAAAACCCAGGGTTGTCTCTCTTACTGCCATCCCTCAGACACCACAGGGATCTAAGAGGCCAGATGAGTTGTTTTACCTCTCAGATTCAGCCACAGGGACCAAAGGTTGCACAAGACAACTTCTTATTCACGTTACACCTGTGCTCCCTACTGCTTTCCATGGGGTTGTACAGCATTGAGTGGCTGGAAGAAAGTAATATTTTTCCTTGATGATCAGAATGAAGCAGAAGCTAGCCCTGCAGGCCTTTTGTGCTTGAATGCCTCATCATAAGGAAATAAGAAGTGATGCTGAACTTACAAGAAATAGACCTTCTCATATGGATAAATGCAAGACATTCTGATGAGAATAAACTCGCATTAGCAGCCGGGACCCAAAAAACTTCTGCCAATTGGGCAAAGTTTTATGCACAAGTCTAAGTACTGTGCAGAACTGAGTTTGCAACGTGTAGGCAAGATAAGGCCCATATCTGCATGTTAACTGTTATTTTTGCAAATGTTGGAAGTGCCATCTTGCTGCTTTTTGTCGTATTTGTGAAGATGAAAATGTTCTTTCTACAAGATGTAGCATGTTACTGAAATTTGATCCATGTTTACTGTTCAAAAATGAAACCTGTCTGTCTAAGTGGGGGGGAACAAAGAAAAAGGGGAACAAAGGGGGAACAAAGTTAGTCCAAGGTGGGTGGTGTTACAGCTTTATCTGTACTGTTATGTTATGTGTGGGGAGGAGGGTTGGAAGGCGATTGAAAAGATCTAAAGGGAGCTTTAGATGCATGGATCCTACTGGAAGATGAAGATGTATTGTTTTTAAATCCCTTAAGTGCTTTTAAAAATTTCTCCATCTATTTTCAGACACTCCCCGCCCCCCTCAAGTCCTGCCAGTCCAAACTATGTGGGAAGATCTACAGGGAATGCCTTTGCCACTCCAGTGCATTAGAAATTAAGCTAATTTCTAATAGGACTGGCTGGAAAACAAGGATTCTTACTCGCAAACAAGTCTGTTAGTTGATAGGGAAGGATTTCAGGCAAACCAGTATCTGTTCATGTGCTACCTTCCCAAATACTGGAGAGTGAAGAGGAAGAGTCTAAGAACTAACTCTGTTCTTCCAGTTATTTTAACTTCTTGAAAAATTAGCTAACTTTTAATTACTCTAATGCATCAGATAAATTAGGGATCCATTTGCTTTTTTCGAAGAAGCAGCAATCCTGGAGAGCCATGGAATAGATGTACAGAGTCCGGGAGGTCATTCCAACAGCGACGACGTTGATGGCAATGACTACTCAGAGCAGGTGAGCATCATGGCTGAGCCACGTGTCCCCAAATGAGAGAGTTCAGTGACACGTGCAGAGGCCTTCTGCCTCGCAAATCAGATGTGTCTTGTTCTTGTTTTGCTTTGATGTAATTGTAAAGGGGAAAGTGGAAGAGCACAGCTCCCCTGTTTGAACATGTTGAGCAACGAGCATTCACCCACATGGATTTATTGTCATACAACAGGACACTTGGCAAGTACGCAATGGGGAGGAGGAGGGAAGATGTTCAGAGGGAGGCAGAGAAGCAGAGAAGGTAGAAGAAGACAGGAGGATCTGCTCCAAACAAGCAAGTTACACCATTCACGCCACACGCAATGTATGAAAAATGTTAGGAGAGTGTTACCCAGTGCACCGTGCATAACTTGAGCTTTCCTTAGCCCTGGCACCGTGCTAGTAATCCGCCCTCAAGGAAGGATGTACAGGTCTTTAACAATTGCTCTGATGTATCAGGCACCAACTTATTTCCCTGCAAAACTAGGCATGTGTGTCCCTCTCTCACCTTTTGTTTCTTTATGCAAGAAATGTCTCTGTGATTGCCTGTGGTACAGCTGTTGTGAGTTGCTTATCTGGCACCCAGATGAGTACAGCAGTAAGCCCCTGCCCAGAACACTTCATCATAATCCCTTTTGTCAGCCCTGCTCAGCAAGATGCTGAGCTCCCTCCTGTGAGGTGCTGAGCTCCCTCTGTGTATCCCTGGGAGCACTTTTCAGGGTGGCTCAGGATCACTCCCTAAGATGCTGACAGACAAAGGGAGAAGGGGTGGGGGGGGGGGAATGTGATTAACTAAAGCTTGACATTTATTTGGCCCTATACCTGCTTCTTATTGTTCTGCAACGGTGTGCCACTATTTGGGTTGTTTACATATTATCTTTTTTTCTTTTTGCATTTTAACTCTTGCCTATTCTCTATTTTTCTTGATTATTTTTAACCCTTGACAGCAACTTCTTTTTTAAATTCTCCAGCAAAAGAATACCCCTTCCCGCACTCTGAGCCCTCACCTACCCTAAAGTTGGTGACCCTTCCTTCACACACCTTCCTGACAGGTATTGCATTCGCTTCCCAATTTTCCCTCAGGTGTCAGTGTTGGCCAAAACTCATCAGGGATGTGTGTGCTTGGCACCAGGGGACTTGTAGAACAGTTCATTTGTTTGGTTCTGGCTTTGATATTAGCTCTGTTCTGTGCTACGCCCAACATCTGGGGTTGGCAGATCATTTTTAATTGACTCATTTGGGAGAAATAGTTATGTCTCCCTCTCTAAAGGAGTGCTTCAGCAATGGAAAGCGCTGGAATGAGTCCCTAGCAGGCTTGGCTGTGGCCCAGTGTGACAGATCTCTGGCAGAGGGGTTCCCAGTCACTCTGCTTCTGATGGACATTAAGGCCCTTTTTATAGGTCATCACCAGAAGATTTGGTGGAACCAACCTTGCTAGCTTTAAATAATGAGGATCAGCTCTGTGACAGTTCTAAAATATTTTGAAACTCCTGTCAAGTGTGGTTAATTCCTGTTCAGTCAGATACAGAAACTGAATACAAGAGTTATCTCGACTCTCAAACTATATTTTTCTGGTGCGTTATCCAAAATGCTTTGAAAAGATGAATAAACTGGATAGAAAATGTAAAGATTTTTGTTCAGAGTCCTTAAAATCTGCATTTCTCAATAATCTGGCTGGGCTTGTCTATGAAGTATAATTAGGCATCGGTGTTGAAGCAGAATAAATGGCAAGTTCTCCTCATGACCATTTGATATCCCTTAGCAGTTAAAACCATAAATTCTGCTTTCCACAATGACACTTAATCTTCAAAGTTCATCCAAATACAGGTGTCTAAGAGAGCAAAACTCAGGACTCTGCTTTGTATTTCTTACTTAGTAAACACTACTGAGGTGACATCACAATATTTGCTATTTGTTGTAAATGAGCACATTCCTTCATATAACTAGGATTTTACCAAATCTTGCCTTTTCTGTCTCCCTCAGCATTTGTCACCCTCATCTTAATTTGAAAGTGCTTAAATGTACATACTAACATTAAAATTTTGCATGTTCATCACTTACTGGCTGTTGAAGACTGATAATTGTTATTTCTTTTCTGTAAACCTAATGGCAAAATTGTCATGTGGTCACTATTAGTGCCTCATTTTAAAGAGAGGAGAACACTGTGATTCTGCCCAGCATCTCAGCACAATTTGTTTGACAGTTGAGATTAGATTGGATATTGTTGTTTCTCATTCCTGTTATTTTAAACCAAGCCCTGTTTCTGATGTAGACTAAGCAGCATGCACACTTCACTATAAAATTATGTCAAGCATTTGATGTGACATTGTATGGCCATTATGTGCCTAAGAAGGTAACCCTTTTTTTTCTTGATTTTATAAGTATCACTGCAGGCCTGCAGCATTAATTTCCCTGTATTAGTTTTGCTTGCCAAGCATCACAGCAATCAGCACAGTGGTCGTCCTACAGCTGAGAGACCTTGCTCTTTAGGAAATAAGCATGAAGAAATATGTAGCACTTAGTTCAGCAGACTGGAGAACTCAGCAGAGGTTCACCTAGATATTGGAATTACGGTAGTTCCAGTCCCACCAAATCATTGCACTGTTTTTCTAAGCAGGCTGGAAGCTTTTCAGCACCTTTTTCCCAATACCTTTGTGAATTCAGTTTCTTCATAGGACAGCGGCTCAGACCAAAGGTCTGGGTGAAGTCAATACCACTGTTTCAGGAAAAGTATTCTTAAAGAATAGGGTAATTATAGAGTGATTTTATTATATTAGAGTCCAGCTTCTGGAAAGCACTAGTCTTGAGAGACTTCCTGAGCCAGGCGGTGTATCCACTTTCTTTTTAATAGTTACAGTAGACTAATTTTCCATGAACTTGTCTAACCCCTCTTTTTAAAGGCATATTTACTTTTGTCTAATCTAAAAATCAGTGAATCCTACAACTGAACAGTGATAAGAGAAGAGCTGCTTCCTGTTTTTGCTTTGGAACGTATTATCTCATCGTTTCAGTGAGCACCCTTGCTTATTAGATCATCAGAAGTAGCAAACAGTTGTTCTCTATTTACTGATTATTTGCAATAAGCATTTACCATATCAACCGTCAGCCATTTCTTTTCCAAGCTGAAGAATCTGAGCCTCTTTAGTCCCTCCCTGTAGAGAAGCCAGCCCCTGACTCTTTCTCCTGATTGCCACTCTCACTACTTTTCCTACTTCTGTTATGTCCTCTTTGAACGGGATGAGCAGAACTGGTTACGGTATTCAGAATGTAAGCACAGCATGAATTTGTGCAGAGGATAATGATCCCTACCTTAGTTTGGTTTCCTGACATATGCTGTATATTGCTTTTATCTTTATGATTTCCTGTTTTCCTCAGAATATTCCCTCTGCTTAAATTTTTCTCTTGAAAATCGGGTACCCCACTCCTTACCCCTCTTACCTTTGTCTGCACATTGAGGGAAATCAGCTGTGTAAACTCTTTTCATGTTGTACCCCTGTGACAAGTGTGCAATTTGCTGCCCCTAGGCCATTATTTTATACGCTGTTTTTGTTAGCCGGTTTTCTGCTTGTGTAATAACCACACTTCTCTCTTCTGCTTTCCTCCTGTGCAGGATGACAGCACTAGCCATAGTGACCATCAAGACCCCATTTCATTAGCTGTGGAAATGGCAGCGGTAAACCACACCATCTTGGCATTGGCCCGGCAAGGAGCCAACGAGATCAAGACAGAGGCTCTAGACGACGACTGATAGAAAGAAGGGGGAGGGTCGAAGCAAGAAGTAACTTAGTTTTAGACGTAGCACCTTAGCAGACTTTCCTCGGTCCTTAATATGTGTTCTTACAGTATAACTTTGCAGTTTCTTGTACGTCAGTTAGCTGTTAGGGTCTTGTTCTGTGAAGATGGCATGGTGCCCTCAGCCTTTGCGTATACTCTCTCAGTATTAATTCCCAATAAATAATCAATCAACCAACCAACCTCCCTCTCCCAGCCCCAGTGGCTAGAAAAATCTTGCTGCTCTATCTTAGCATTCAAAGTGCTTCCAGGTATTTTAGACAGTCCTCAATTACAAGTCTTAGGCTACACTTAAAATCTTGGATACCTTTAGAGATTGTGTAAAAATAGTCTGTATGCTTTTCCTTCTCTGAGACTGAAAGGATGCAAGCTGAGGTAGTGGCACAGGGTCGATGGACACCAGACTGGGAGTATCAACAGAGAGTAAAAAGAACACTAGAAACCCCACTTCAGCTGATTCAGATTTCCAGCTGCAATAAGCTGTGCCTCACTGGTCATACAGTGACTTGATATACTTTTGGGTGCTGTGCTAAGAATGTCCATTGGAAACACATTCACATATTTCAGTTGATGTTCCCATATTCAACACAGACATCCTCTACTCACAAGCTGTGTGGCTTAGTGGATAAGTACTGCCTTCTGCCTCTGGGACCATGATTGAAGCCCAGCCTGGGATCACATGAAAAATGAGCTGAATGTCTAATGGACAACAGTCCACCTCTCAAAACCACTATTCATTATTTGGCATGGCTTGTAGTGCCTGCTCAGAAGAGGTCTAGACTCTATTGATCTGTCACTAACAATTTCACTTTTTATTCTTCCTTTTCTGTCCCCACCCTGTTCCCCTCTCCACTTTGCCACTTTCAAAAGCAATGTTTTCCAAGAAGGTTTTAAGGTCATGAAACGGGTGAGTGATTTTTTTTACACGTCTGTGTAACTAATGCCTACGTCTAGCCCGAAAGGTTATTCAAGAAGTTTGACATCTGACCTTTGCTAGTTAACCATCATAGCATAAATATTCTCCTAAATAAGAGCTTTTGCCTTTGCTTAAAGGCAAGAGGATCTCTTCCCAGAGAAATGGGGTGTGAATGTTTTGTGTTCTCTTTACTCTGTCCTTGTTAAGATGTGAGAAAGCTATACTGCTACGAGCAATTTAATTAATAATTGGAAGCCATACTGATAATGGATGTGGTAATATTTGTAAAGCAAACCTACTTTAAGTAGCAGAAACTAATGGAATTGTTTTCCTTGATCATATGTAGCACTTTTGTTACTTTTTTCTTAAAGATATTTATATTTGATAAGTCTTTTTTTTATCATTTGAGAATTCAAAATGCCAAACAGCAAACTCGCATTACAGAGTCACCCTGCGATCGCCTTGTCATCTACTATCTAAATGATGAACTGTGTGTGCATCTAAGAAAATTACATCTGCTGGCATTGTGTGGAAACGATCTCCTGGCATCCTGATAAAATGATATGTTGCTGCCGGTAAGAGGAAACATCTCAATGGAAACAGCACGGGAAGTGTTAGAGACAGGCAGGACTGTGTTACATTTAAAAAAAAATTAAAAACAACCCAAAAAAAAA